CTTAGGAATAAGCAAACTGTTATAGAAACTGATGGTCTTGGGGCACTGTTGCTATATCCTGTACTATTCTCTAATTATAAAATTTACAAAAATAAGGCCATTGTAGCATTAAACTTGATGGGTTGTGACATTCTCATAATGGCTCAGATTCTCTTCTTCTGAACCCAATAATCTTCTCTTGCTTTGATATCTCTAGATGAAGGAGAGACTGGGTTGAAAATGGGTTGTAGATTTGGACCTCAAAGTCCACCCTGGGGATGAAAAAATAGAACTCTTGGAGAATTTCTGGGCACTGAAGAGAGTTGTTATGAACTTTGTTGCTTGGGCTTTCCTATAATTTTACCTAAACATCTCCAGTAAAGGGACCCAAGATGGGTTAGACACATGAGAAGAAAGAACAGGATTTCTCTCATACAGTAGGTATCAAAAGCTTGTACTTGCATCTACTCTTCTTTATTATCTGCTCGGTGGCGAAGTCTGGTCTGGTAAAAACCTGAGGTTAAAAACCCAGGTTTGCTAGCTCCTGAATAGCTTAGGTTCTATTCCAAAGTAAACCCCCATGCTCCTCACTTCCATTTTGGTCTGCAACATAGACTCGGTATAGAAACAAGTCATGATTTTCTGTTCTACATCTTAGTCCTGATGGAAATGCTACCCTTGCTTTAGGATCCTGATTTCTGAATTGTTTAACTCCAGTTTTCAAGAAGGGTGGAATGAACATAAAGTGAAAGATAGATCGGCAATCAGAAAGAAAGTACTAGACAGCCCAGTGACATTTCTTCCATATTTGGTCTAGTTCTTCCTAGTCTTCCAATCTTGTATATGGTCCCTAAATGATTTTTTTTCTACTAGGCCAAATAGATTGGTCCCCCCCCCAATAATTCCATCTATTTTCAAGTTAAAATAATGTTATTAAAAGATAACAAAACCGAATTTCTGTAGACAACTGTGTTAAATAGAAAAAAAGAAACACGGGTAGAAAACAAACAAGTAATTGAAGAAGTAGCAACATTTGTGAATATGATTGAGGAGACAGGACATATGATAAACTAGATATGAATTATGTATGTGATCTGCGCCAGTAACATGATTTGAGTTCAACGAAGTGTTAGCAAGAAAGGATTCACAACAGAGAGACCATAATAAAAAAGACTGTGAAGAAATTTTAAAGGAAAAAGATAGTTAAACTGGTCTGCCCAACTTGTGAAAAAACATTGAGGACAATAGGCTGGAGTCATTTTCATATTTTCAAGTCAAATATTTGAGAAATAGAAAGGAAATGTGCTGTTGACTAAGGATAGCAGGAAAAAATGTATTTTTCAATGAAAGAAAAATAATTGGCCTGGTGGCTAAGACACCAATCTAGAAAGCAGGAGACCTTGAGTTCAAGTCTCACTTTAGCTATGAAAGCCAGCTGAGGGACTTTGTCACACTCTCTCAGCCCAACTCACTTCACATGGTTGTTCTGGGGAAAATAGGAGGAGGAAGGTGTGTTGGATAGATTTGCTACCTTGAGTTGTTTATAAAAATAATAAAGGCGGGATATAAATAAGTAAATAAATAAATGTTTAAAATGCAACATCCTGCCTCTTAATCTTGAAGTTTGATTAAGTTTTGCAATCTAGGAATAGATCTTTACTTGCCTTTCTTTCATGGAACCTAATTAAAATTTATGGAATATCATTTTCTTATCAATTAGAGCACTCTATATTACTTCAAACTTCTTTCTGGAGTTGGAAAAGATAGAGAGTAATGGCAAACTCTGTTCTCTCCTCCAATACTTTACTGCAGTCCAAACTTTCTAATATTTACTCTGCTTGAGGGAGCTTCCCTGAATCTTCAGAACCAGGAAAAGTTTCACTAACCCTAAAGGGCAAATTATATTAATAAGTTTTCTTATTAACTCCATTCTCCAATTTTAGTGGATCAATTAATATTGCAATTTTGTTCTGTACCAAAGGATGTGACCATGAATTTCCTTAGACAGTGGTAATCCTCTGCTCAAAGTACCAGTAGTCACAAATAGTTCTACAAACTACTCCATTCAAGCTATTTAAGAGGTACTCTGCACCCTTAAAATACAGGTTACAAATGAAGTGAAATTATCATTGGACTGATGCAGAAAAAGAAACAGAATATAGCTGCTAGATATGCTAAAATCTAATGGCTATAACTTTATATTATGTGGAGGTCCTGAGAGATTAGCACAACCACACCAACTGATTGTGTTGTGTCTGTTACTAGGATAGAAAAACTGCAATGCTAGCCTGCATTGGTTCTTCAGAGTACACCATTCTGTGCAAATGTCACCAATAGAGATCCATGCAGAGGGTTCATCTCAATTCCCTAGTGATGACTCCCTGGCATGTCTGAAAATAAGCCCATTGCGTCTGAATAAAAACAAGAAGGTGACACAAAGAGATCATTTCATGGAACCTTCTAAATTCAAATGGAAAAGAAAGATAGGGCTGTTCAGATACATCACACTATCATTTTACAGAGACAAATATATATATATATATTTTGAACAAACTGACCCAGGTGACCCAAAGCCATCCTTTCATTGATCCTCCTGAAGTCAAGAGAAAGGTCCCCGAGGGAAGAATGGAGCCAGATGCCTCCCAGGACAGCATCTCATCAGGATGCAAAAAAAGAAATAGAATATAGCTGCTAGATAAGCTAACATCTGATGTGTATAACTTTATATTATGTGGAGGTCCTGAAAGATTAGCACAACCACATCAATTGATTGTTCTATGTCTGTTACTAAGAAAGAAATGCTGCAATGCTCGCCTCCAGGATAGAACATTCTGTGCAAACATCCCTAATAGAGATCCATGCAGAGTGTTGAAATGCCCAGAACATTTTTATATTTATACCGTTTAATTCCTCAACTAGTGGCTTTCTAGATGTTTTGAATTACAATTCCCATCACCACCCTAACCAGTTATGATTATACATGGGGGAGCACCTAATGGGATCACAGCTCAGTACATTTGAAAGATACTTTGTTGAGAAAGGCTAAATGTGGAATCTTGAACATGTAAGTGTAAAAAAGAAAAAAAGTTGGGCAATACTTTTTCTTAAAATCTAAGATATGCTACACTCAAAACAAATGGGATCATATAGCGTTTTTTTAAAAAACTTACAAAAGCAGTCAATATGTTACATAAGTAAATTCTTTGTTAAACTTCTTTAAATAGTGGGAAGGTAATGGAAATCACCTGAATGAAATGGTTGAATTTCTTTCTTGGTCAGTTTTGTTAATATATAAGTATCTTTTGGGAAAAGTTTCTGCCAGAATATCTTCTGGATAAGTGTTTCTCACCCTTAACTGAGGGTGAGGAATTCTGAGAGTTGAGTTCACTTTTTTTTTTAAGCAGCCAATGATGAGAAACACTAGTTTGGATTGCAGCAGATTTAAATTGCAATTGGTATCAGTATTAATATTATCATTATAATAAGCAATGTGCACGTCACTTCAGGGAGGTTACCCTGCAGGTATGACTGAATGTTAATACCTGGAAGCCTCACTCAATATGGCCAGCAGTGAGGAATGCTGAACTTTGTTGTTCAATAACATTTACAGGGCCAAAGTTTCCCCAACTTGCATTTCATAGATGACAAGGTATGAGCAACCTAACTCAGAGATGCAGCCCAAACAAGCGCATAGTGCAGTCTCTCCTTTCAATGCCTGCCTTAACCTCTATATACTACATTCTCTGACACCTTTGCATAAATCTCCATGCCAAAAAGTGCAGAACAGTCATTTTAGTTACACTGACATTTCTTCTGACTTTTTAATACCAAGATATTTGCTTCTGGTCATTTCATCTTTTTTTTTCCTGGCATGTACTATATAGCAGGGGTCTCCAACCTTGGCAACTTTAAGCCTGGAGGACTTAAGCTGGCTGGGGAATTCTGGGAGTTAAAATCCTCCAGGCTTGCCAAGGTTGGAGACCCCTGCTATATACAGTACTGTATCTAAATCTTGGTTTAATGCAATGAAATAGGACCCCAAGCACATTTCCTTGTATCGTGGACTGAATTGCTCTCATAAGTTTTAAAGGTACTATAATTGCTAATCCAAGTATTGACTGGTCAATCAAGTGTAAATTGATCACCTGCAAGTGTCAGAGTGCAGTCATGGCAAACAAGGGACAAACTGACTTGAGAGCATCTTGAGCTAAGATCAGAATTCACGCTGTGGCTTTGTTTAAAAAAAAAAAAAAGCTGTCGCTTCGCTTATACGTATCCTAAACTCCCAGCTACAGTACTCCAAAATCCACTCCTACACACCTATTTTATCCTTGCAAGAATCCTGTAAAGTAACTTAGGCTGAGAGTAACAGAGCCTGGAGAGCTTCCTCATAGAATGGGGAATATAATCTGAACCTTCCCATGTATGGTCAAGACACCACAGGACTGCCTTCCCCAACCTAGGAATATTGGTCTGCTGCTCCCTCCATCACCTCCAGTCCTCCCTGCTTTGCTAGTCTGGAAGGATGCCGGGGATCTGGAGGGCCTGGGGTGGGGGTGGGAATAGTAGGGCTGGTTTTGCCTTTACAACACAGTGGGGAGGCTGCCGCTGACACTTCAGCACTCTGGAGCAGGGGTCTCCAACCTTGGCCACTTTAAGCCTGGTGGACTTCAACTCCCAGAATTCCCCAGCCAGCAAAGGTAGGGAATTCTGGGAGTTGAAGTCCTCCAGGTTTAAAGTTGCCAAGGTTAGAGACCCCTACAATGGAAGACCGTTCTGATGGGGACGGTTTTGCATCCGGACCGTTTCACTTGTTCCTCTCCTGGCAGCAATCGTCGAGTTTTCCACAAGCTTTTTTTTTTTTTTTGAGGTAGTGGGCGTGGCTTTTCCTTGCGAAATCAAATCCAAAGCGGCTCGTCATGAATATTCATCTAACGCTCGACCAATTACAAAGCAGCCTCAGCTGTTTCACGAGCTGAACTGGTCCAGAAAGTTTTTGAGTTTGGAGTGTGTGTGTGTGTTGGTTTTTTTTTTTTTCCGCTTTGGGAAAGAGTTCAGCGCTCGATCAGTGCCTGGAGCGGAGCTGCCGGACCGAGGGCAGTTTAAACCGAGCTCTTCCCAGCTCGAGCTAGCGCGCAAGATGAGCGTAGCAGTGGAGGAAGCTGTCTTGCCGTCCATCTCCACCTTTGCCGGCTTGGTGCCACTGGAAGAGAGGCGGCCCGAGATGGTACGGGAGCTATTGGCGGAGGGGAGGCGAGGACTTAAGCGATCTCTCAACCTCAGGGGAGCGAGCGTCGTTTAACTGGAGCCGCGCAACGGAGGACCTTAACAAACGTTGAACATGAAAAGTAGATTTAAAGAGCGAGAATATCTCCGGCAGGAGCTTCGGAATCTTCGGCCGGGCAATTTTGAACAGAGGAAGGCAAAAGGCTCTTTTCCCGGGCAATTTTCTGTTCCAAATTGCCCAGGGGTGCTTTCCCCCAGTTGCCGTTGGCTCCTTGGTCTAGATAGATGTTGCGTAGCTACTTACACTCGCCTTTGGCTCTTTTCGCTTGGGCTTGGGGACTCGAATGAGAGGCGCAGTTCTGCGGCAAACAAAATAGTTTTCTCAAATTGTTTCTTGAAAAGCCGATGGAAGGCACGGTTCATAAAGGGAAAGTTTTAGGAGTTTTGTTCATTCGGACCAATGGCAGCACCATTCTCAACGTATCCGAGGTGGGCGCGTTTATTAGGCTATTCTGGTCTCGGTCCAAAAGTACGTGCGGAAACTTAGCAGGGTGGAGTTCCTGATCGGGCTGATTTAATGTCCCAGAAAAGTGTGTTGCCATATTAATTGGCGGGATCCTTTATCTGGAGTCCCAACTCCATTCATAGCTAAGCGTCGTCGGAAAGGACAAACCTGTTAGTAAAGATTCTCGGGCTCGCTTAACAGTTTCGTTTTTTAATTAAAAGCAAGTTCAGCTGGGCTTCCGAAATTTGCGGACCCCCTTCCCCTTTTCTTTCTTTTTTTTAGGAGATTCCTTGCACATCTTTGTGGGCGAAACTCAGTTTGCCTTCGAGTATTATTTTCTTTTTCGGGATTATACAGAAGAGTGCTTAAAAATATGTAGGTTCGACTTGTGCCTTAGCAAACAAGAGACGAGTATTCTTGTAAACGCCTCGGTTGGGCTCGGGGAAAAAAAAGACTCGGGTCGAATTAAACGGATTTCGGCCAACGGCGCTCAGCTCCGGGCATCTGTAGACGCTTCAAGACCAGTCCGGGGCGATCGCTCCGCGCCCGTCGCGAGGGGGGTTCGCGCCTGGAAACTATCGCGGTGGCGCTGCGCAGAGGGCGGGACTGAAAAGTTCAGGTTAATTGACTCCTCCATCATTCCTCGGGGGAGGGTACCTAGGGACAGCTGATTCGGAGTTTCTTCCGATTCCTCAGTCGGGACGGTGCGGCGTTCAGAGAAGCCTGGTCTCCGGGGAAGTCAGTAGAAGAGGCGCGTGACTCGTCTTTCAAGTTTGGGGGTGCTCTTACTAAATGCTGGGATCCGACTCCCGGGCGTGTTAACTCCTTCCCTCCCCTCCCCCCAACCGGTAACTCCTGCTCTTCCCTCCGCAGAGGCTGGCTCCTCCTTCCGTGGAAAGTGCCATCGCCATCAAGAGGGAAGCCGACGAGCTCGGTAACTTCGTCGACCTGGAGTTCATCCTGGCGCACACCACCAACGGGCAGCCCAATGGCGGCGGGGTGGGGCCCGCGCATCCCGCCGGCAACCCGAACTACCCCCTGCCCGAAACCCCGGAGAGCTGCGGCACCACCTATGACAGCGACAGTTCCAACTACCAGCCGCCTAACAAGTTCGCGGCGTCATACCTGCCCAGCCCTGGGCACAGCTACGTAGCCGAGCTCTTCACTCAGGACATGCAGCAACCCTCGGTGGGCCCGAGCCACTGCGAGCTCCAGCGGCGGGAATACACTGAGCTGCGCGCCCCGGGCTTGCCCGGGGGGCTGCCCTTAGAGCACCTGCGCGTCAAGCAGGAGCCCATGGACGGCCAGTCCTGCATGCTGAGCGAGTGCCTGGCGCCCGGAGCCCTGGACCACAAGCCCCTTCTGATGCAGCCTCTGCTCCAACCGCCGCTGTCCCAACACGCGTCTTCCGGCTTCCCCGCCGAGCAAATGGGCTCGGGGCCCCAGTGCGGGGTGGGCGGCGAGCTGGGCCCGCAGATGGGAGCTCCCCAGCATTACCCGCGCCCTGCCCACCTCTTCCAGCCCAACTTCGCCGGGCAGATGCCGTCCCAGTTCCACGGACACTTCAGCGTCTTTCGAGAGCCTTTGAAGCCCCGCGCCCAAGGCCTGCCCGGGCTGCTGGTCACGCCGCCCAACTCGCCCGTCTTGGATTACTACGCCCCGATGGGTCCCCCCGCGGAGGAATGCAAGCCGAAAAGGGGCCGGCGGTCCTGGGCCCGCAAACGCACCGCCACCCACAACTGTGAATTCGCCGGCTGCGGGAAGACATACACTAAGAGCTCGCACCTCAAGGCGCATATGCGGACCCACACGGGTAAGGGCGCCGGGCGGGGGTCAGGAGGGGCATTGGGTGGAGCAGGGCCCCCCAAACTTGGCATCTTTAAGATTTGTGGACTTCAACTCCCAGAATTCTCCAGCCAGCATAGCTTCGGTTTTGTTTTGTTTTTTTCTGGCTGGAGAATTCTGGGGGTTGAAGTCCACAAGCCTTAAAGTTGCCAAGTTTGGAGGCCTCTGGGGTAGAGGGAGACTAATTCGGCTTGGTAGATGTTGGGGAGCAAGCCTCTTCATGGGATAGTGATGGGATAGAATGCAAGGGTGCGAGAGGCCTCCCCCCCCCCCAAAAAAAAAGTTAGGAAGACATTTGTAGAGGTTTGGGAGTAGAGCTCTCTGGCTGATTTGGCTCTGCCTTGGGATGATGCTTCAGGACCTCCTGAGTTTAAGCATCTTCCAAGCACATTGCTTTTACTTGCCCTGCGTAACTTTCCTTTCTTGGACAATGCAGCTGGACCGATGGCTTTAATCAGCCCATCAAATACTTTTAAGTAGCTCACTTATGGATCTGAACTTTTTATTCAAAAAGTAACCTTCTCTCCCCGGTTCGGTTGGGGCACTCTCAGGAAAGTGTGCGTTACCCTATAGCCTGAGTATTCTAACAATAATCTGATTGTCAGATTGGCTGTACAATTACTTTTCTCCTTATTGGGGAGGGGGTGAGGGGGTGGGGTGGGAGGAGGAGGAGAGATGGGTGGAGGCAGGATTGAGAAGATAAATGATGCAATCTAGAGAGAATAAATTCGGTTCACATCGATAGCCATATTGGAATTGAATGAGTCCCCACAAACTTTGTGCTGTCTTTGTAATGCAAAAAAAAAAAACCAAAAATGCGATGCTTTGCGCTTTTCATCAGGTTGGATGTTCACCAAACTCTTTCCCTCCCCCCACTCTTTTACCAGGTGAGAAGCCTTATCATTGTACCTGGGAAGGCTGTGGCTGGAAATTTGCACGGTCAGATGAACTGACGCGCCATTACCGCAAGCATACAGGTGTCCGGCCATTCCAGTGCCAGCTATGCGACCGTGCTTTCTCTCGATCAGATCACCTGGCCCTGCACATGAAGAGGCATGTGTGAAGCATGGCTGGCTCCTTGGGGCAGTGGGGTGGACTATGGTAGGGCTGAAGAAGAGGGGAGGGGGGGTAGAATGCAAGAGACTTTATTTATGAAGGGATGGAATATTTTCTTATTGGACTAGCTAATTTATGTATATATTATTGAAACATTTTAATATTTAAAGAGGAACTCTGTTCTTATGGAAAAAGTATGTATTTAAAAGTGAATAGTTACACAAATCTGCCTGCTGTAGGGACTGTAGTTTAAGAAAAATCATCCTGGGGGTTTGGTGTGAGCAGTATAACTGTGGCAGGATTATCCCCAAACCCTCAGCGTACACACAGCCATAATGCAGATCCCACCTTGATTATCTCAAGCTGTTTATACAATTGTAATTATTTTGCTTTATTATACAATGGTCTTTGTTATTTTTTTTTCTTGTCATGTTAAAAGGCTCTGTTTCTAAAGTAGACCTTGAAATGGGGGGAAAAAATTAAAGTGGATGGAAATACGAATTCCTTTTTGTTCTTCAAATGAATAGTACAAAATAAATGAAAATCCACCCATAACCACCCATATTGATTTATAATCTGTATAATTAGTTATGGACTAAAGGCAAATATTTAAGCTTTCTTGACCTCTTAAAAATAATGTTCATTTTTTTTGCCAACCTTTAGTATTAGCTTTTTTTTGGTATTAAATTTTTTTTAATGACATTTTGTTTCAGCTGTAAAGTTTCCAGTATGGTCAATCTATTCAGACCAATAAACAACCTGTGATGATGTAACCCTTCTTAAAGCAAGTAACATCCACCAATAAGTCTCCAGCTGACAGCAGTGCGTGTTTTGGGATTATCCAACTGAAGAAACTAAAATGGGCACTTCCGGAATAGGTTATAAAATAATATATACTCAGAACAAAGACAACAGTTGCGTTGGTAGGTTGTGCAACCTATAGTGTCTAGGAACAAATGTTTTGCAGCAAAGTTCTGTGTTCAGAAGTAAAGCTACACTTCAGGTTTCCATCTTCTTTTTCTTGCTCAGGGATGTTGCCAAAGCAGGACCAAAAATTGCCTTAATTCACAATTCTGAGAGGTGGTAAAACCACTTGGTTGTAGACAGACCCTTGAAAAAATGCCTTAGGAGAGTAAATAGAAACAAACTGTATTATTTCAGTGCTCTTAACCAATGAAAGCCACTGTAAGTGCCACGCCTATGTATGCTTATGTGTAACAGCTAATCACTACTTGGTTTATCTATCACAACAAGCCATATTGTGGTTTGTTGGTATCGGATTAGCATATTATATAAATGTAGACTTTATAACCATGGTTTATGGCTTAGCATGTTTCAATACAGCCAAGAACAAATACATTTTCAAATAAATACACATAGTACTGCAATTATGATTAACAATGCAAGCCTAGTTACTTTGAATCAAAAATAAATGTTTACCCCGTATCTTATTCCCAGATAAGTTGTGCATAGGGTTACAGCTAAAATGTGGTTATACCTATTAATTATAATACCTCAAATGTGTTGTATAGGATTCAATCATGTATGGAAAAAGCCATTTGTACTGCTTTTTAACCGCTTTGTAAATTTAAACTTTGTTCTAATGCATATTAATGAATTTTATTGGGGATACCACTCCATTTCTCAGTACTGAAAGCACATGAATCTATGGCATTTTCTGAACTCTATTCATTTGCACAAGCAAAGAGGCCTTTAAAGTACTACAATAGTTTGTTCCAGAAGGCTAATGATTAACAGGCCATTGTTTTTAAACCATCAATAACTTTAGATGCCGGTTGAACCATTAAATTACTGTTTTATGGACCTGATCTCTGATGGGGGTGGCTCATTACACCCTCTGGAGTGTTAAATGATAGACCCTTAAGGATATGTTTGGAAGTAGGGAACCCAGATTGCTCTGTAAGTTGCTTCAAAACTCCTATAGCCCAGACCATCTGACAAACAGGCTGAGACTGATGGGAATTGAGACTTATACCTTTTAAAAGCCCATAGGGTCTTTCCTGACTTTTATCTGTGTCGTTGGTGATATCCCCTAAAGCAGGGGTCTCCAACCTTGGCAACTTCAACTCCCAGACTTCAACTCCCAGAATTCCTCAGCCAGCAAAGTTGCCAGAGTTGGAGACCCCTGCCCTAAAGCACGGGTGTCAAACTTGCTGCGTCACATTGCCGTCACGTCACATTTCACGGCGTTTTCCCCATTTGCAGAGCTGGGGTGGGCGTGGCCTGCGCATGACGCATCCAGCCCACATGCCACCAGTTTGACACCCCTGCTGTAAAGGATGATCATCAAGCCAGGTACTGCTGCAGCTGCTTTTTTTTTCTAAATGGCTTTTGGATTTTATTTTTATAAAGGGCATTTTTGTCCATTTCTGCTATACTTGAAATGTTCTTTTTGGAGGAGGAAAAAGACCTCTTAATATGTAGCTTATGCAAAAAAAAAAAAGTTGTAATTCTTTTTTAAAATGCTGTAAATGAATATGTGTTTTGTTTTTGTTTTTTAATAGCTCAGGTCCATTTAATGAATGACCTCAGCTCTGGTATGTGCACTGCACCTGTCTGTACAGTTTGTGAATTATCAGCTCTCATGCAGAATGTCAGCTTTATGTATATGCATACTAGAAATATTGTTGATCCAATGTAAAATAAATAAAATATAATAAAAAGCAACCATTTTGTTTCTGACGTGATTGGAAAGAAGGCCTTTAAATGAGAACAGTGACATTATTTGTGTAATAAGCACTATCTTATTAAAGCACAGTCAGCTTTTATATTTAAAATATAAATTTAAAGCTATTTTTAATGTACATAAAAAAGCAATCTAGTTACAAAGTTCAATATACCTGTAACAGCAAGCAATACTTCTAGTAAATCAAGTTGAAGAAAAATGTATTTTAGAACTTTTACAAAATTCTTAAATTGGAGATATACATTGCCAGATCTCATTTCATAATATAAAAGAATCATGTGCCATTTTTCAGTAACTACATTTCTCTGGAAGACAGTTTTATCATACACTTCTTTTTAAAAAAACCTTCTATTCTCTTTTCCTTATGTGGCTTAAATAAGTCAAATTCAGGAGCCAGTACTGTGATCCTGGCTGTAGGAAGGACTTTTGGATTCTCAGTTTAAAATGATCCCAAGTTTGTCAGTCTGTTCATTTTTTGAAGCTGGGCACTGCCCATCCCTCTGGCTCAGTTGAGTTCCTGCACTTGATCTACTGGTAGTTTCACTCCTCACTAAGTACTGAGGCTTCCTTTTAAATTAACATGGGATGACTAAGCTTTAACAGGTCTTTCTCCATCTTCTCTCCCTCCCACAGCCACTTATGTACTTCATTTTAGGAGCCAGACTTGTGTAGACTTGATGTGGCACTACCTGCATTGGCACAACCGATTATCCCAAGCTATGTAAGTTGTGGCTAGTATTGAGGACTGGAGAAGTTTCAGCCACATGCAAGAATTGCAAGCCACAATCAGCTACTTCATAATTCTTTTCTGTTGTTTTTGTTAGGTGAATGCAGAATGGGGGAGTTTGTATTGTTGGCAACAATAGTACAGAAACCTTGGAACTAATTCTGAATCCATAGTTAGAAATGAAATTGAGGCAACTATTTTGTGCATCTGGCTGGTAAAATGTTAAGTGAGATGGGAAAGTTTCATTTGTTGTGCTGAGTGCGGTATGTATATATCCAGCAACATATCATACACAAAGGTATACAAAGGCAGCAACAATATTAACTTTTCATGGAGTTCAGTCCACTACAGCAAGATTAACATATTTGCCCTTCTGGAAATGAATATAACCTTCAAAACTTTGTTTTCACTTTCCTGTTACAGAAAAAAAAAGATTCAACACAAGCTGACAATATAAAAGCATTTTATTTCTCATGCTGGAAGCTAGCTATGACTCATTCAATCTAGTATAGACATGAGTTTTGGATATGGTTAAACCACTAATGCATCATTTGTCTTCAACAAGCCACAGTAGTTATATTTCTATGTGTACTATTAATTTTATATTTGGGGGGGGGTTACATACATTTGGTTCAGGGTAGAAATCACTTCTTCCTATGATAGAATCTTAACAAACATGCAGCAAAGCTGAATAAAACTGAAATGACTTTTTAGACTTCCTGAGAAACAGATCAAGGCTCTGGATAATTTTTCCAGGGTTTTGTTCAGAAAAGCCTTGGTTTGTAAATGGCTGAGAACATGAATAAAGTGAATGGTGAATTGGGAAAGCTATACTAGATGAGCTTTGTGTGTATATGAGTAACTGGCTTTGGTAAAATTGTGTTCCTAAGCTACTCCAAACATCCTGTAATGCTGGAAAAGCTGGATCCAGAGTTTGCCTTCTTCATCGTCTTGGAATAAAAATCTGCAGTGTAAGATTGATTTGAATCTTTCTGAGAAGTGGAACAGGATGTTTCAGCCTACATTTCACAACTGCCACTTAGACCTTTGGTTGTCTGTTGTTCTGTTCAGATAATACTTGACACCAGTATCCTAATGAGGGAGAAGAGGGCTAAAACAATGCTTTTTACCCTTTAAGGCAAAATGATTATGTTCCATCTGCCCAATATTGTCCATAAATAGCAAAGACATACACATACCAATAACATTAACAAAAGCAAGAAAGTGGAAATACAACATAAATGGCAGAGGGACAAGAAAAACGAACTGTGTAAAAACCATGATATCAAACCTAGCATGGGCACTTTTAATTTCAAAATTAAACCATGATGGCAAGACTCCCAGAGGAAAAGGAATTTCTTCGCCAGATGCTGTGTGAGCTAAGTCCAGCAATCTTTAGGAAGGCTTCTCCAAGCCAGGGCAGTAACAACCGAGGGAGTTTTTCACACTTGCTGGTGATAAAATGTAAAGAAAGCCTCTAAAGCAGTGTTTTTCAGCCCCCAGCAATTCTGGCAGTTGCAGGTCACACATCTTAATGTTGCTGAGGTTGAGAAATGCTGCTCTAAATATGGTGTTTGCAGGTAGACCCTAAAGCTTGGCCTGCTGGAAATTGCTATCACCTTGCACTTTTACCTCTCCTGAAAAATAGGGTCTGCTTCAGAAAGTGTACAATGCAGAGGTGGTATTCAGCAGGTTCTGACCAGTTCTGGAGAACCAGTAGTGGAAATTTTGAGTATTTCGGAGAACCAGCAAATGCCACCTCTGACTGGAGACTTACAGTATCTTTCCCATGCCACACCCACCAGGCCACGCCCACAGAACTGGTAGTAAAAAAAATTGAATCCCACCACTGGTACAATGCCTGTGTTACTGAAGATAATAACAACATTGTGTCAGAGGGAGAAAAATAGCTTTTTGTACAGACAAAATGTGGAAGTAAAGCTTTACCAAGAATGTTTTGATGAATTCTTCACAATTGTGCCTTTGGCATTTGGTCTCACTCTGGAACTACTGTCCCTGATCTGAGATCTGATCAAAGACCAGGGGGTGGGGGGGGAGAGAAATCCCCCGAAGGAGTCAGCCAATGATGTTCTAACAGGAAGTAAGGTAAAAGCAGAGATTTACTTCACACATACGTGCTAGTCGTGCTAGTTGTTTCCAGCTCTAGGGGGAGGTGCTCATCTCCATTACAAAGCTGAAGAGCCAGCACTGTCCGAAGACGTCTCCATGGTCATATGGCTGGCATGACTAAACGGCAAAGGCGCACAAAACTCTGTTACCTTCCCACCAAGATGGCCCCTATTTTTCTATTTGCATTTTTACATGCTTTCGAAATGCTAGGTTGGCAGAAGCTTGGGACAAGTAACGGGAGCTCACTCCATTATGCGGTGCTGGGGATTTGAACTGCCGAACTGCCAAGCTTTCTGATCGACAAGCTCAGCGTCTTAGCCACTGTATGAATCTCTAATAATTTGATTCTACAAAAGGGTAAATCATGGGATCTGTGGTTTTTCTTGCTGGACTGCAAGCAAGGAATGAAATAGGGAGGGAACCAGCCCAATCTGAACTAGTTGGACCCACTGTTAGCTATATTTATGCATAGAAGGAAATGAAGCTATTTGTACAAATATAAAGAGCCTTGTATTCTATGTATATTATATAGTACCAGCTGGGGTAAATATAGTGGGTCTATATTCTAAGATTCTAAGGAGCAGCACTTTTAGATGAAGATACTCTACTTCCTCTAAATTTAATGAAATACTTTTGATATGCCCCCTTGTGCTGATTTTCTGTAATGCATTTTCACATTAGTTGAATATAACAGGGCTAAAATTGCATAACACCATTGGCTTCCAAAATCCATTATGAGGTAATCTTAATTAAATTTTCAAAAGAGTTGCAAGCTTTGAATTTCAAAGAAAACAAGAAAATGTAAAATCCAGAAAAGAAAAGATAGGGGAGAAATGTTTTAATATCTGAGCCATATAATTTTTAATTTCCCTATATTAAAAGTCCCTATATGTACTACAAGTCTTCCCCAACTTAGAGGAAAATGGGGATGATATCTGAAGAGTGCCAGGTTAAGATAGGGTACATCTTACTCACCTATTTGAAAATACAGAATTCTGAGAACAAGATGGCAGTACCTAAATTTATTAAGTAAATAAATAAATAAACAGGATTGCAATGTTAGGATGATTGTGATACGGAGGCAGAAGATGAACAAAGGAGGGCAAATTGATAAAGAGAAAGCACTAATTATTATGAGCCATCTAGCTAATTATTGTTTTATTTGTGGAATCTTACATGTGCCAAATGATTAGGACATTAAACCCAACATGGTCTTTGATGGAATCCAAAAAGATCCTTCTGTAGAAATGACTAATAAGGTTAAGAGCAAATAACAATAAAGCAATACACATTAGATGGTTGGATGCTAACTGCACTTCATTGCCTGTATCCATGGCAATGGCAATAAAGTTGAATCTAATCTAATCTAATCTAATTAACAATAGCATTCATC